ACCAAACCAAAAAAAATTGTGGTACCGGGGTCAGGGAGGAAATGAAGGATCCGCTCGATCGGGTCGCGCTTGGTCCAGCAGAAAAGGTTGAGCATAAAATTTACCTACCCTAAGGATTTAGGCCTCTATTCCGCAGGGGAACAAGGTCCGCCCATCAGCACTGTCTGTGCGTTCCCCCTTACATCCAGCACTCGGCGGGATCCAAAGCAATACCAAATGCAGGACTCTGGATCAGGAATCCCGAGAGAGTGACTGTTTCAGGATCGAGGGGGGTTGAACATCGGGTCACTAGGATCGATGTTTCCCCTTCACCCCACGGCGTGGCTCATGGAGTCATTACGGGGAACAAACTCAGAGGGGCCGTCCGAGGTTGCACATTTAAATGATATTATTTTGACGGCCATATTTGATTTATGCAAATGGTTGTTATTCAATCAAATGTTTCACAATCACATACATTCACACACACCAAACCATATCGCAGCAACTTGAATATCTAAAAAATGTCATCTAGAATTAAAGATATGTCCTAATAGTTATATTTTCTATGTTGTAAAAATGCACAAAACGGCCATTTCGAATATATGCAAATTAGGTATATTTCGGAAGCCTAGATTTTCCTAGACTTTTAGTATGTCAATCTAGGCACCTCCCCGGAATGTGCTGTGAAGAAATTATTTCTGTTGCAATTTGTGATGGGTCAAACCATAAATTGACTGGACTAGATAGCAACACACGCTAAAAACGCAAAGGCTAATAAATAAAACAGTGCAGCGGAAGTATCGACCGACTTGCGGTGTATTGTCTGAGTCTATACATCTAAGGATACATCATGGGAATGCCGAAATCCAAAAAGTTTAGAACAGAATCAGCGAACTTCTTTGTGTGGAGTCCGGTCAAACCTTAGTGGCAGCCATGTTTATGTTATTATTAGAGGACGCTTGCGCGCGTATTCATTCCATATTTGGAATTCGCATTTCCTAATATGGTAGAATGAAAATACCCCGTATAATATCGCAAAATTACGACACGCTGTTACTTATGGCGTTACGGTGACAGATGTATAATAATACTAATTACGTGCGCTTACTATTGTTAACATTTTGCGAATAATAGAGTAGTGAATCGGTTCGGAAGGCTGTGAGTAGGCCTTACGTACGAGCCAATCGACACATGAGAGTTCCCATGGTAATGTACTGAAGTCATGGAGGCAACCAGTCAGTGATGACACAAAACACACATTCTTTTAACGGTTTAACGCGGATCGTTCAAACTTTATTAACCTTTCCTAAGTTACAAATACGTACCTTAGCTACTTACTACCACCTAACGCAGTAGGTAGCTATTATTCGTATACATTCAACAGCGATACAGTGTACACATTAATGCACTAAGTACGAAACAATGTTAGCTCCACTGCCAATGTACATAAATAACTTTTAAGATAACACTTCCTTGGATAACAACTGTTTTTTTCATGTCAAAATCTTCGGAATGACCATTCGCAATAATATTTACCAGGTATTTTATTAGCATTCCCTCATGGATTATCTCGCCATTAATCCTGACACATCCTGGCGTCATTGATCCCTTTATAATAATAAATCTGAATATCGTGGTATGATTATACGCATTGTAATGACTAATCCCAAACAGAGTTGTCAACATATACATTAACAAATGAAATGATAAAATAACCAAACTGACTTACACTGATAGATATACTAAAATCATTTGAAACAAATATTTCCCCCAACTGACAAACAGCAAAATGAAAATACCAAAATGTTATGACGATAGTATAACGATATAGCACGCATAATCTAGATCTGTATATTAACTTGTTTTTTTGTTTATTTGTACTGTTTTGTTAATTTTGACATGAATTCATTCCATTAGCTTTAGTATTAAGCATTATTACATATGTTCATAGACTTTATAAAAAAAAAACACCAGCAAAGTCGTCACGACTATCTAAGACGTTGGCACGGGGACGCGTAAAGGATGTAACCTGTTTTTAATTACATGTATGTCCAATAATTGATTAGTAATTCTCTTTATTTCATTTTTGTGTTGCTTATCCTTCAATAAAAAAAATAATGTTTGCAGTTGATTATCAAATTACTAGATCACTTTCACCCATTTACGTCATTATGACATTGCGGGGAGACTTTAATCATTAAGAGGATGCAAAAACGCAACAGTTTACTCTTTCTAAAATAATTATAGCAGACACATGAAACTAATCCTTCGGAAAACAAACTTTGTTATTTACAATCATAACCTCTACCACGTATGAATATCATTGCAACCTTTCTCAGTTTACCGTATAATCTTTTTGTCTGCATCCAGACAACATTTACTATTATTTCGAAAAGGTTATTTTTTCGAGGTCGTTGAAAAACGTTTCGCCTTTGTGAATTTGAGGAGTAATTAGTTAACATTGCAGCCGAATAGGAAAATGACACAAAACAGTTATATTACTACTACATTTTTCAAAGTTGCATGCGATTTACAAAAATAATGATACAGCATATATATATACACTTGCATAGTATTTGTTTTTGGATATAATTGATATTTTTCAGTGATATTTATTAATCTGTGAAATACGGCGATTAGAAACCATTAATATTTAAACTCGCTTACTACTGCCGCACGGAGCGTTCGAATACCAATGCAGCGCACTAGGGAACACATTTGCAAGACAGTTATCAAACAGGCGTCCAACATATGATTTCACTGCTAGTGAGTTTCCCCTACAGTCGGAAGATACCACTATTTTGAGATTGCCCAGTAAACCACTACAACCGGTTAGAATGTTTTTTTTTATTTATTTAAGAACAGTATTCCATATTTTCTATAGCCTTCAAGACCGATTCACTCGTCTAGTATTCGCAGAATTTTAACAATAATAGGCGTCATCTAGTCTACCAGGAGCTATCATACCACGCCACCGAGAAGCAACTCAATTTTGTTTGCAGTGACGTAATCTCGGTCACTCATTACGCAGTTGAAAACAATTATTCATTTCATTTTACCCACCGCTGTTTTAATCGAAATAGTCGAGTTCAACTTGCTCTATACTCCGTAAAAATATACCTTATACTCCATAAAATGAATATGCTGGACTTGAATCGTACGAGTTATTAGTAAATGCATCTAATTAAGCATTACTTGCAGCGTACGAGTTAAAAGTAATACGTTACTGAATATAATCAAATGTAACCGCAAGAACGTAATCGATAAGATATAAACACGTGTGTGACCAATACCTCCGAGTGGCGTATGGTAGACGAAACTCTCCACCGGGCCACAATGACACATGTTAAAACGTATTTTTGCTCGGATATTAGTGACTTTTCCCATAAGGTTGGAAATAGGGTTATAGCTTGACAAAATTGAGCATGACGATTTTGCTCCGTTTCACTTATTGACAACTTAGATTAA